TGGGACTTGGACTTAAACCGCTCATCACTCAAATGAAGAACAAAAAGGAGTTCCAAGGGCCAATGCATGTACCGTCTTTAGGAGCGTTCTTTGCGATCCAAATGCTCACCTATAGACACAATGAGTGGTGTGACCGAAAGAAGAAGGGAGCAAGGAGGCTTCAGAACGGTTGGATTGTCACTAAAATCTTGAGAGCTCAAGGGTTCATCTTCCCTGATTCACCATCGCGGCCGAGTCTCATTAATGAGCAATACCTAAGTAAAAGTGGTTTCTTTGGAGGCAAGTCAGGGGATAGATGGGTTTACAACTTCACGCTGATGCACAGGGACGGTACACAAGTTCTACTGCCTAACCGAGGCCTCACCATGCTTGATAAGCAGTGTAACATCTCCTTCTATGTCCTCAAGGATCAGTTGTACAACCTATCTCTCGGCCCACCAATGCGCAAGTGCACCAAAGCCATACCTAACAAGCCTCAGAACGAGAACGGCCCGGCCGGAGGTGAGAATGAAGAAGAACGGCACGCTGAGAGAAGGATGGGAGCAGGCAGATATCATTTTGATCCATACGTGTGGGGTGAGCCTGAATACCACACCAAGAAGCTGTATTTGCGAGTGAACACTCTCCAAAAGTGGTGTAAGTGGCAAGACAAGACCATTCATGCCTTGGTGGACTGTGTAAGGCACCTGAAGAAGAAGGTCAAGAAGCTCACACGGCCATCTTCTCCGGACAAGAACTCGGGGACCTCAACCGCACCAATTACACAAGAGGAGGTTGGGGAAAGCTCAAACGCAAGGAACCCGGAGTTTCCACCAGGCAAAGAGGATTGGATCGACCCTGCCTTGGCATTCTTACCTGAACCCTCGGATAGCAGCCCACCACGTCAGTCCACACCTTCCTGCTCAACATCAAATCCCTCGTACTACTTGGGATCAGACCTCTCCGACTAAGGTATCGACTTCAAACTCTTGTACATATGCATCTTGTGTATATCATCTGCATTGCTTTAGTTTGTCTTTTTACTTCTCTCACACGCTTTTATAACACACGGGACTGTGTTATTCAAGTGTGGGGGAGGAGCTTTGTGTTTTCTGATCTTGTTTTCTTTGTTCTTATTTGACTTTTGCATTCTTGAGTCTTATTTAGCTTTGTACATATGGTAAAACCGCATCATTAACATTCTAGTTGCATCTCGCATTCTAAGATCGAGTCTAGTTGCATCAATTAGGACTGCATCAGTGCAAGGAGCAATGATAGATTTTTTCCTAGAGAGTAAATCACTTGAGAACTTGAACTAAATATGCTTGTGAAACTCATTATGTGCTTGTAAAGCTTGAAACGATTTGAATCTGTGAAGCAAGTCTAAATTACACTCAACTCTAGTTAAGTGATAACCCTGAACTTGAATTGTAAATATCTTTTGATGCATTGCTTGAATTGGCTTGTGGATACCGATATACATACTTGAGCTAGAATCATTGTTTTCACCACCCTCTTTTCCTTTGCTCAAGTAGCTGAATCCGCATCATGGATCAGTTCCCTCACCTTGAACCCAACTTTCTTTTCAAGCCAATGTTTGTGTGTGAATTGTAAGGCCACCTTGGACTGAACTTAGCAGAAAGTGTTAGGTTTAGAGCGACAAGGGCATGTCTCATTGAGTGCTACGTTCCAACATCAAGGAACTGAGAGTATTGGCAAGAAATAAGTGTGGGGGAAAAGATCTATTGGTGAGTGGAAAAAGGTGAGCTGAGAGAAAAAGAGAGAGTGGAAATAGCTAGAGGAATGAAGAAAAAAGAATCGAGTCTTGAATTTGAAAAGAAGAGCTCTGTTGTTCTAAAAAGAAAAGTATAGTCTCTGAAATGAAAAGAAGCCAAAAAGGCTCAAGTGTTCTAAAAAGAAAAGAAAAGAAGCTAATCGCTGTAAAAGAAAAGAGCTGTTTGAATAAGTAAGCACCAAAGGCTTGAAAATCAAAACAAAAGTGAGTCCCCTAGTGAAAAAGAAAGCGATTGAGAGAGTGAGGATCTTGAGAGGGTGAGCAAGTGAGAAAAGCTTTGAGTGGAGTGTGGGGTGTGATGAGTCTTGCCCTTGTATGCATCGGTTGCTTTTTACCTTTAGCATTCTGCCAAAGTTTGGTCGTTCATTGAGTGATCCCATTGTTGCATTACACCCGCTTGAATATTGATGAGATCATTTTTATCTCATGACCTTACCCTAGCCAAGCCAGCCTATTTGAACATTGCATCATTTGATTCACCGGTTACGAGCTTAATGAATGTGAAAGAGTTGAATGTGATAATGACTTGTGGAGATTCTGTGCTTTAATTGTAAAATATCTGAGTATGGCTTTGCATTGCATATTTGAGCATGAATCCAAGTTCTCTTTGTGATCACTTCTCTCTAAAAAGGAAATATGAGCTCCATCTGCATTACAACCTCTTTCTCTCATTTGTTCTCTTCGCTTGAGGACAAGCAAAGGACAAGTGTGGGGGAGTTGATATGTCTATATTTTACATCATTTAGAGAGCATTTTAGAGTCCTCATCATGTGTTTTCCCATGTAAATTGTGTCTTTAGGCATGAAAATAGGATTTAGGGTTTGCATTAGGTCCCAAAGAGTTTTGCATGTTTTGAAGTCTTTATCAGGTGCCTTGGGAGTCGTTTGGAGCTTAAGAAGAGGAGCAGAGGAGAAAACGGTGAAGAAAAGGGTCAAAAACGGTGAAAACCGCTTGGAGAAATTTCTCGGCCAAATCGCGTACCGGACGGACGGAAACCTCGGCTAAAATCCTTACCGATCGCTCAACACCGGCCAAATTCCTTACCGATCGACCAAAGTCAGCTTGGGTCGAAGATCGGGTGCAAATACCATGGGTTGAGTTTTTGGCCGAGGCGAAGGAATTTTTACGACCAAAAAGCTTACCGCGGTACACAGCCCTCGGCCATTTTCCTTACCGCGGGAAGCTTTTCTCGACCAAAATTTGTCCTTGTCCGCGCGTTTCAAAGATCAGCAATCCGGGGAACCTTCCGGTCCGAACCAGTTGGCGGGGTCTTCAGCAAAGTCGGAGATAATCAGGCAAAGATCCCAGAACAGTTGGAATCATCCAATTCGGACCAATGGGGAGAAAGATACAGCCTCCGGAAGATGCACCAACATTACGCGCACCCGAGAACCAAACGGCGGAGTACAAAGGCTACGGCGGACGGAGCCTTTCCAGACCAAATCAGCTTGCCCGGTCTTCATCCAAGTTTGAGATCTGTGAAAGACCTTTTCAGAACAGTTGGGATCGCTCAATTCGGAGCAAAGTCTCCGGAGTTCACATCGGTCTAAAAAGCTTATTTTCTGGTGATTCCAATGCGGTTCAAAGATGTGAAATCCAGGAAACCCTCCGCTTCCCAAGCTCCGACGGTTTCTTCACCAAAGTTCGAGCTTATTGAGTCATCTTGACTATGGAACTGGTCTCAGAGCATTTGGAGTCGTGGGATGAAAGTTACTGTTTCCGGAAGGTGACATGGTCGATACGAACCCAAATATGTTGCGATACGCGCTAAGTGTTTTCTAAGGGCTCGGCATCGTTACCTCGACATCGGCCAAGTCAAGGCTCATATTTTGGGAGTATTCTGAACTAGGCCTCGTGCTGACGCCTCGGCACGTTGGAATCAAGGCATGCACACGTAAGAAATAAAGCTGGAAACGACTAAGTGTTGAACGTGCACCTCGGCGCAATGACCTCGGCGTGCATGCCGGCCCCTGTTCGCTCAAACCCCTCGACTACCAAGCGCCTCGGCATTTCATGCCGAGATCCATTGTCACGAACCCAGAATCAAGAACAAAGCTGCCCAAGAACACACACGTGAAGATGGATCGAAGACTAGGGTTCATGCATGTTCTTGACGTGTTCTTCACGAGATCTTCATTTGGATCTGGACTCACGTGCACTCCTCGACATGAAGACCTCGGCTTCACTCTCCGACACACCGTGGCACTCACCCATCAACCCAAGAACGCGGTTCAGTACCCGGTTTGTTCCGGGCTGACCCGCGACACTTTACCTTTGCTATATATACATTTTGAGACTAAAAACCTAATCATCTTATCTCTTATCTGTTTTTAGCTTTAAGAACTTGCCTCTTTGGTGAAACTTGATCATTCTAATCCGATATCTCGCTTTTGCATGAGAAATCTTGTTCTTTCTTTATTTCTTTGATCATCTAACATTAAACTCCTCATCATGACCAGCTACACGTCTTGCAAAGGACTTAGTGAGCTCGTTATGATTAGTGAGTAGTCGTTTAAGCGGCTTTAGACGAGTAGATTAGGGTGCTTTCTAGGTAGATTAGTGGGTTTAGGTGTCTAGTCTTGCATGTTTCATTCTTTAACCGACGAGATCTCTAGGCTGGATCCAAGCACATCACTTGAGGTCCAGATCTGAGACATATCTCGCATCAAAAGTGTTTGTAGAAATGTCTGAACCACTCGGTTATGGGTTTAAGAGTCTTTCATCGCGAGAGTGATAGTTTGTTCTCTTAAATGACATTTTTGAACTGATTCTTATTGCTGATTGATTCGATGCTTCTCAAAAGACATTTTTGGTATGAAGGAGGATCAATTTAGATGCTTAATACTTTCATGAGAAGATTAACATGCCTTGAGTTCAAAGTTAAATGAAACCGCTCGATGTTTTGATTCATTAACCCACTAGTTGAACTTGGAAGCACCCGAGTCAAGTATCTCGTCTAAAGTCTCTTGCTTTATTACATATTATCATCATCTGAATCGCTTAGTTATCATTTACATCTTTGCTTTGTTTGATTCTCATCATTTACTTTACTTACATACTTAATCGTTGTTATTCAGCTTAGTAAAACCTTCACCCTTTTTATCTTGACTTGAATAAACAAACAACATAGACTAGTGTCTCGTTGACAAGTCTGGATTGACACCTCTTAGTACTACTTTGACAAGGGGATTGATAGCCCTAAGACCTAAAAAGTCTTATCTATCAGATTGCTGCGAAAAATGGATCTGAAACGAAGCACGATTTCTATGGGCATTTTTTATTTTTTTTTTTTCATTGCCCCAAAAGTGTTTCGGTTTCTCTTGATCATTCGCCTTTGTTTGGGCCTTCTTGGGGTTCTGGACCCCGCTTTATTTGTGATTCCTAATCTCGACCTGCCCGCCGATACGGAGGGTAACGAGATTGCTCTCAATCCTCAGCCGTCTCTATGGTCGTTGTACACCGAAATGGAAAATGCAGACTCTGTACGAGCGCGAAATCTGCTGTTGGCGGAGTCTTGGGACCGGGTCGAGAGTTTGGAGCGGGCCCTCGAGAACGAGGGGGATCCCGGCCGGCGTCTGGAATTGTTGAATCGCCAGGATCGGGCGATTTCCGAACTAGAACGGCAAATCCATCTCGGTCGAAGAGCTGATTCCATTCGGGATCGGCAAATCGCCGAGTGGAGGGGAAGGTTTAATGCCGAATTTGCGAGGGAAGGGGAAGAAGAAGCCCGCCGGACGTTCCTTAATTGGTGTCTTCGGGTACTCATCCATGCTGGACAGGAGCACCAACCCCCCCAAAAGTAAATCCGTTCTTTCGTTATCTTCTTTCTTTTCATAGATTTAAGTCTGTTTGTGCATCTTTCTTTCTCCCATGCTTTCCGTCGGTCAAACCAACGATTCTCTTCTCAAAGTAATAGAGAGATCCTTTTCTAGTTAGACTTCTATCAATGCAATGAAAGAACCATCCCTTCCTATTAGTTTGTCCTGTCAGATAGAAAGAAAATTAGACCCCAAAGAGAAAGAGCCCGGTGGGGGTGAAGGGTGGGGGTTTACATACAACCGAAACAAAGTGGTTTATGATTGAATCTCAAAGGCATTCTTATCATTTGGTAGATCCAAGTCCATGGCCTATTTCGGGTTCACTCGGAGCTTTGGCAACCACCGTAGGAGGTGTGATGTACATGCACCCATTTCAAGGGGGTGCAAGACTTCTAAGTTTGGGCCTCATATTTCTCCTATATACCATGTTCGTATGGTGGCGCGATGTTCTACGTGAATCCACGTTGGAAGGACATCATACCAAAGTCGTACAATTAGGACCTCGATATGGTTCTATTCTGTTCATCGTATCGGAGGTTATGTTCTTTTTTGCTTTTTTTGGGCTTCTTCTCATTCTTCTTTGGCACCTGCGGTAGAGATCGGAGGTATTTGGCCCCCAAAAGGGATTGGGGTTTTAGATCCTTGGGAAATCCCTTTTCTTAATACCCCTATTCTCCCTTCATCAGGAGCTGCCGTAACTTGGGCTCATCATGCTATACTCGCGGGGAAGGAAAAACGAGACGTTTATGCTTTAGTAGCTACCGTTTTACTGGCTCTAGTATTTACTGGCTTTCAAGGAATGGAATATTATCAAGCACCCTTCACTATTTCGGATAGTATTTATGGTTCTACCTTTTTCTTAGCAACAGGCTTTCATGGTTTTCATGTGATTATAGGTACTCTTTTCTTGATTATATGTGGTATTCGGCAATATCTTGGTCATCTGACGAAGGAGCATCACGTTGGCTTTGAAGCAGCTGCATGGTACTGGCATTTTGTAGACGTGGTTTGGTTATTCCTATTTGTCTCTATCTATTGGTGGGGGGGTATATGAAGGAACGAAAGAGTGGATTCAAAAATGAAAGCTCGAAGACAAAGAGAACCGGGCTTTTCCAAAGAATTACTGCAGCTTTCCCACTCCCTTTGATTATCATATACAATAAAGTCTCTTCCACTTTCCTACCAAATCTCTCTTTATTCTGGCACATAAATGAAGGCGTTCCTCGAAGAGATTATGGCAGATCATGTTCACCAAGAAATTACCCGAAATTGGATCTTGGTCTATTTGAGATTGTTCCTTTTAATCGTAATCAAAGATGTTTTCTTGTTTCTTGTTTCTTTTCTGAACAAATTGAAGAACCTAATGGATCGAACTCATCCTACGAAAGATATCGGAACACCAAAACCAGAAAGAAAGAAAGTAGAGCTTATTGCGAGAGTTCGCCGTTAAAAGTGCAAGCTGTAATTATACGTTTCAGAATCCCACTTAATAATTTCCTCAAAAAATGAAATCTGCTTTTCGTAAGACGTGTCTTTAGAATACTGTTCAAAACAAGTAAGAAATTCGTTGACCAAGCGAAGATTGAGGTGATGACAAGTTTGCAACCACCAAACTCGGTAAAGGGTATTCGAAGCTTCTTAGGACATTAGGGTTCTATAGGAGATTTCTCAAGGATTTCTCGAAGATTGCTAGGCCACTCACACAACTCTTATGCAAAGATGTGGCTTTTGTGTTTGATGAAAATGCCTTGAGGCATTCTTGATGCTTAAAGAGGCTCTAGTGACCGCGCCCATAGTCCAACCACCGGATTGGAATTTACCATTTGAGGTCATGTGCGATGCAAGTGACTACGCGGTTGGAGACGTTTTGGGGCAAAGGAAGGACAGGAAGTTGAGCGCCATCTACTATGCTAGTAGAACCTTGGACGACGCGCAAGTCAACTATGCCACCACCGCACTTACGCTCCTCGCCGTAGTTTTCGCCTTTGAGAAGTTTAGGTCTTACTTGGTGGGCTCCAAAGTAATAGTGCACACGGACCACGCGGCTTTGAGATACTTATTGGCAAAGAAGGACGCGAAACCGAGGCTACTTAGATGGATTCTACTTCTCCAAGAGTTTCATTTGGTTATAAAGGCGTTCCTCGGGTGGTTCCTATAGTTTTGGTTTCAAGGTCTTGGTTGGAATCCTTGACCTCCAACATAGTTCAACTCTTCTTGTGGCTCCTCATACCCTTCAACACCAAAGTCTTGGTACCCTTGATATCCACCATACTCTTCACAAGAGTTTACCGTCATCTTTTCTTTTGGTCACGCTTCAATATCTTATCCATTTTTGCATTCAGCTCTTGGATGGCATGATGAGATTCATCATTGTTTTTCTTTGTAGTCCGATCATAATCCGAGCCATGACTCCCATTGCTTTGTGCGAGATTCTCTACCAAAGTATAAGCATCGGCTTCCTCAATTGTTTGACTCATGAAGCTTCTCGTAGACACCAGAGCTTTGGCGTTCCTCGAAGTCACATCTCTCGCCCAAGTTCAGCGGACTCAATCGCACCCTTCCTTCGTCGTATAGAAGATAGTTCCGATCGTTGAGTTTAATGGAGACACAACTAGTAATATTGATCTTGGAAGGAAAAGGATAAGACTCAAGAGAACCCTCCATGGCTCTTGATACCATGTGAGTGTTCATGGGCTTCCAACTCAAAACCAATTGGCAATGAGTGGAGAGGGTGAAAGCTTTATATACTAGTGTAGGTCCCTTCTCACTTTCAATTAGGGATTCCTAACAAAGGGAAGTCTGGATACTTGACACAGGTTGTTCTTTCGGAAGAAGAGAATGGTTTGTGAGTTTATCAGATGCTGGTAGTGGACAAGTAAAGATGGCAAATGACACCATGTCAACAGTGAAGGGAATAGGAAGTGTGAGACTGAGAAATGAAGATGGTTCTACTGTTTTGCTGACAAAGGTGAGATATGTCCCCAGGGTGAGAGCATTACTAATCGGGGAAGTTTGAACTAGCTGGAGAGTCAGGATCTCTTCTCGAAAGCTATTATCAACGTTCAGCGATTGAATTACCTTCAGTAAATCTAACCAGCTAAGCTACCCTTTATAATTAAGTTAAGAAAGGGCAGTTCTGTCGATTCCCAATCTCGAAACTGAGAGTGCGAAGTCACAAGCTGATGGGCTATATGTGAAGTTCAAAAACCCAGTTAAGAAAGGAAATATATAGCTATCAAGCTGAAACTTGAACTGGAATTGCCTACTCTAAACCTGTTCGTAAAAGCTCCAACTATAGCTATAGGAGCCCAATCTCTTGACTTTGGTAAGGCTTCTGTTGAAGTGACTTCCCCAGGTTTTGAACCCTAGATAGCTCAGTTACTATCGATGGAAAGGCACTCTCAAGAAAAGACGTGAAATCTAGTTGAGTTGTCTTATCTATCACTATTCAAGCTTCCAAGTCGGAATCCAAGATAACCCTTTATTCATTTCATCCCTCTCGCTTTGCTCGAGTCACTTTCGTCCCTTCCTTTCTTCATTTGTTTTGGTTGGTCAAGGTAGTTGCCTATCTTCTTCTAGTGTAATGGTTGGGATTCTTTAGATGTAGCTGAAGGATTCAGGCGTCATACATAATAGAAAGGGAAGAAACCTACCACTCTATTACTGGGGGACGATATGAAAATGTGTCGGCACGGTTCCAACTCGTGGAAAAAGGAAGACTTTGTGAAGAGCTACCAAGCCTTGAGAACAGAGCGAGCCTTACAGCTTGAAAGGAACCTGAAAGATGGATCTTGAAACCTTGGGGAAAGTTTCCTACGGCGAGCTCGAGCAGAAGGGGTTCCTCCGGCGCGTCTAGCCCTACTTCTATCCAATTCCGGCAAGGTAATCCAATTGGAAAACCCTGACTGAACGTGAGGATGTTATGTCGACTTAATCCGTGGTTGAATATGTTATGTCGGCTTATAAGAAGTTGAAGATTTCGGGCTATAGGTCTAAGCACCTAAACTCCCCTTTTCTGGCATGCTATAGTTATTAAAGTCTCTCGATGGCGGGAATGGGAGATTACCGGTAAGCCAGATGCTTAAGCCTATTCTTTTCGTTTTGGGATTTGAGTAGGTAAGGGCAGCGGGCAGAGGTCGATCTGCAGCTCTCGACTTCGTAGTGCCAACTGTAGGGCTAGGTCACCTAAAATATGTAAGTGTGGGCCCTGTTCCACAATCTAAAAACTCAAACAACCGAGACAGCTGTCAAAAATATGGTGTGTCACCACCGTTGCCTCTGATAGCTACGAGGAACGCCTCGTAACCTGTTCATAATGATCCCGCATAGGCATCTGACTTTCTTAGACAAAAGCGGGATAGTGAAATAGACGTCCAGTCTCCGATCCCCTTGATTGATCTCGACTTTACCAGCTCATGAACGGGGCATTCATCAGACTTGAGCAGTAGGTTTCGACTCGGTCAGCTGTCTTGATGAAGATTGACTTCAGCCAAAGAGAATGAATTGACTTAGGGTTTCTTACTATGTGCTCGATCCGATCAACGAAAAGAAATCCTGAAATTACATAAAGAAACGCGAGAATCTTCACAGTTGACATTTTCGATTTAGAAAGTGGCAGGCGTTCCTCGAGCTCTACTGTAGTGCCTTGCAAGGTCGTAGAGCCGGTAACCCTCGTTCACCTAAAATGGAAAAAGGTCTGTGATTGAGACTAAGGAACGCTAGCTATATGCTTAACACATGCAAGTCGATCAGTTCGCCCTTTCGCCTATCGGCTTGGCAGGCAAGCTACCTTGCTTGCATTCTATAAACGGTAACTTCCGCGCCGAGGAACGCCTCAGATAAAGATGTCTCAGACGCTACTCTCCCGGCAAGAACAACTTATTCTATTGTGATTTTTTTGGCGGGTTCGGTCAGGAGAGACAAAAGAGAGATGCTTTCTATCAGTCAAAAGGGGATAGCGCCCCCCGCCATGCTCCCACGGCCCGCTTACCGAGGAATAGAAAGGGAGGACCGGGGGGGTCCAGAGCAAGTAGGGTTGGGGTATAGAGCCGTAAGCGCGGTGGGGTGTGAGAGAGGACGTGCTCGTACGGTTCATAGAAGGGTATGATCAACTCGTTGATTGTTGGTAACTTGAACTCCTCTATATTCGAAATATGCCTTTCTAGGAGCATTACGATCTGCAGCTCAAATGGTCTCTTATGAAGTCTCTATTGGTCTTATTCTTATTGTGCGCCTTGTGAGCGCGTTTGTATCCGCGAAGGCAATCATCGCTCGGATGTTCCCCTAACCCAACCCGGGAACGGACCGGAGGGAACCGCAGCATGGGTAATGTCCGCGTCTCGTCGTAAGGCTCATTTTGAGTTGTGGGTCATAGGTCGGGCTTCGGGCGGGCAGCTTTATCTGATCAAGAGCCGGGGCACAAGGGTCCTGGTACTATCCCAGGTGCAAAGAACCCCGGAGGTGACTGCAATGAGCAGAAATCTCACTCACCGGCCTAAACGACGAGAAAACACTCGAACGTGAGAGCAAGGGATCACCCAACGAATGGACGAGCTCCAAGGAGGGAGGAGGCAAGCACCATGCTTTCAGAGAAGTGGCGGTCCGAATCTTATCTGAACTGCGAGAATAACTGACTAAGCTGTGCCATAAGGGTCATTCTAAAAGCGGGACAGGGGTTCCTCCAGCTTCGCTGAAAAAGCTAGGTTCCTCCTTTAGGTTGTTTAAGTAGGTTGGGTGACAGATCGGCCATAGGAGTACTCCGGGATATAAACCAGGGCAACAAATGTCGAGCATACAACGATGCCGCCCGTTTTCATTTCATGGAAGTCCCCGGCAGAGGAAAGGGCTGTAGGTGATGGCGCGTTTTGCTTCTTATCTAGAGAGGGGCAAAGTCACTCGACTGAAAGGAGAGGGCGTAAGCATGACTCGAGCACTTGTCTAGAGAGGGGCGCTGAAATCGTTCCTATTGGGTCGTGGGTGGCTTTAATATAGATGAATAAAGGCGGGCGCCGAAAAGGAAGCAGCCCAGCCTCTTCAAGAAAGCTTTGCTTGGTAGGCGCTGCCTACTCACTCAGACAATGCTCTGAACACGAGAGTGTGCAGTTCCGCCCCCTTCTCTCATGCTGAGTCACAGGCAGCGCCTCGGAAAGCACGGACGAGCCACATGCAGGGAAACTTGCACGTGTGGTTCTGGCCGGGGACACCCCGGTATACTGTACTAATATGTGTAGGTCCCCGTAATTCGAGTGAGATTGTCATGGCGCAAAAGCAGATATGGTCTGGTATTCCCCTGTTCCCTGTATTGGTTATGTTCCTTATTTCTCGTCTAGCAGAAACTAATCGAGCTCCGTTTGATCTCCCAGAAGCGGAAGCTGAATCAGTTGCAGGCTATAATGTAGAATATGCGCGGGATGCGATCCTTAATAGTCCACTGTTGGCGGAAGCCAATGTCCCGGGGTCCCGGGGACTCATTCTGACTGAAACGAGGGGTGGGTCTTTACCAACTCAAAAATATTCGATTTTTGGGAAGACAAAAAACGTGATCGCCTAGCGCGAGTCTTATTGAAAAGGCCCCTTACTATAGATGCCCCTTATTGAAAACTCAAGGAAAGGTTGATATATATGTATTATATTAATGCGTAATGCGCTCAAGCATGCGAAGAAAGCCGGCCTTCCCTTTAGCAACAAGGGCGCTTAGGCTTTACTAAGAAGTGCGAAAGGGCTTTTCTTGCTTGTTTAGTAAAGTCACGCTTTTTTATTTAGAATTTTGTAGGTGCTTGCTGGGGCAGGGCACTCTTCATTCTTCATTCGAAACTTTTGAATGTCGGGTCGGAGGTTTCTGCCTTGTTATCAAAAAGGAAGTTGGGTAAAGCAAACTCCCTCCTTGGACGAGCACGGGGCTTAGTCAAGTAGAACCGGGTTGCGCTGCTTGATGCTCCGATCGAAAACAAATCAGTGGGGACATGCCGGTATGACTGAATATGCGTTAGAAAGGTCAATCCCTCCCCTACGACACCAAAAAAACCGGGCCGAACTTCTAACAGCCCGCCCGCTTCCATAGAAAAATATCGCGGCAACGTAGACCTAAGTGGTCATATTGGATCCTTGGGAACCATCACAAGTACGGCCGGCCTATATTTGAACGAGAATACCGTGTCGTTCAGCGGAGCCTAAAAGAAGGTGACTCGCGCAGACAGCTGACTCCTTTTCAATAGAAAGGAATAGCCAAACCAACCCAGCTGGCTGATCAATCTCAGAGATCTTATCGGCCGGCAAACCGGAGACGGACGACCACGGTTCCGACCTTACCAGCACCAGAGGTGTACTAATCAATGAACCCCCGAAACCAACTTTCTTTTCTGACAAAATCCACCAAGTCTAAGCGGTCACGACATCTTGTTGATATTGATTGAGGACTTTCGCTGACTGACTCCATCCATAAACCTAGACCCCGGTAACCTTCGTAACCAAAGCGTCACGACAACATCCAAAGTTGACCTTTGGATTCTGAAGTAGGGGGCAAGGAGGAGCGCGTAGGAATGTCGACCACCACATAAGCCACTAGTGGCTGAGAGAAAGCGAGCAGCACCTTGTATAGGTTGGGCAGAGCTTGAAGAAGCAAGCCCCTATCAGAGCAGAGAAAGCCATTGCGCGCTAGCCTAACTAGCTAGCATTTTTCAGCTGGCTGTTATTTAGTTGTAGCGCGCCTTCCCTCCTTCTATAACTTTGGAAAGATTTAGCAGTATTTTCTTATGATGACCTGGTCGAGAGAGTACGATACATCGGTGTAAAAGGTTGAGTGGGATCTGTAAGGTTGGTTATAGTCAGGCCTGGCCGGAAAGTGTTCTTGCCTCTATCATTAGCTCGGGTAGCCCCTGTTTCTGGTCTTTTAGTCACCTTCCAATGGCTCTTTTCCCAATCACATCCCCGAAAGACAGAAGGAAAGACAAAGATTACCATTAGGCGAAAGCAGGTCCACAAGGTGAAGACTCTCTATCGTCAGATCAGATCGTTGGCAGTCTAGTTCTGCTTTCTTTTGAATCGAAGTTTAAGGCATTCAGACATGGGATTTGTTAAGTGCATTCAGCATCAGTATCTGCTTTCTTTCCTGGTGTAATTGCAGAGAAGATGTAGACAAAACTGACTGAATTCAATTCAAACCCTGTGCGAAGGAACTCAGGAATCACTTCCCCTTCATTGAAAACAACATAAGAAGGAGTGTTCTAAGGCCAATAGACAGAAAGTGAGTGCTTGATGTAGCATATCTGCTGTTCACTATCAACCATAGGCGTTCCTCGAGCAAGGCTCGATGGAATTGAGGTTCGATGTAATTGACCCGCCTTATGTTGGACTTCCCAACTTACCTAGCGGAAGAAAAGGGGTTCCTCCTATAAATCAAAATATGTCTAGGTCACTTCCACCAACAACTCAAGCTATTTCTTACTGGGATTCTCCACAAGTACTAGAAAGTATGGGATCTCTACAACTTGTTCCACAAACTCAAACTATCGGTCAAGGGGTTCCTCCAGCTTCGCTGAAGAAGCTAGGTTCCTCCAAAGAAAAAGGTCCAAGCCCATTCTGATGGGACCACCCTACCTAATTCATTATCTCTTTTCCTGGTTCACTAAAAGCCGAGAATGAAAGAAGAAATAGGGCTTTGCCCGCTCTATTCTATTCCGAAAGAGGGGATTCGTGCAATGCCCAAGGTTGTCACTTCGTACCTTGAATCTTTGCTTAGTTAGCTTATCTTATTAGAAGAGGGAAACCTCTGAATTAGCACCGTATTGCTGCCTTGGCCGAAGCAACTAACCAATTAGGAACTCTTTGACCCATACGGAATCAACAACGAGAACCAATTTCTTTCTTTCATTTGCTCGCTACGCTTCGCCCTCTGTTTTATCCCATAAAGCAGTATTATCATGAGGACGGGACTGCTTCCTCGTGTGTGTACTGCTTGAGAATCCCCTGCTTGGATATTTGAAGGACGGATTTCCTAAGCTTGATGAATGTGCCGAAATTTCTTTTTTGTGGCGAGCTTCATTCCTTTAGGAGCGGAAATGCCGACATCTACTATTCCATCAAAGAGCCTACTCGGAGGAACCCCTTCTAGTTCATCTGCATCAGCTAATATCGAATCTCAAGTTTTGCCCCGCCTGTTGCGGGCTATCATTCGTATCTTAAGGCAGTTCACAGTTACTTGCATCAACAGGAAAGTCATCAGTCCCTTATTCTTGAACAACCTATGATGATTCATTTCCTCTTAGATTACCCCTCTTTTTGTCCAATGATTCCTTCTAACAGGGCATTCGTGAACAAGCCACCCTTATTTCCCAAGCCTAGCGATTCTCTTCTGTCTGTGGTCTTCTTCTACTTCATCTAGTTCATGTGCAGCCTACTCGTGAGCAAGCCCTGCTAACAGCTCTTTTGTACGATTCTATTCCTATTTCCAGGGACATAACTCGATCTGGGAATCTCAATGGGCTTCGCTCCTGTAGATTAGGCAGTCGGGTCAATTTTTGTTCAAAAAGAGAAAAGAGCCTTTACGCCGACAGAGGATTCTATAACCGCGGATAAGGCGAAACCACTAGCATTCGATGCATCAATGAATGTGCTTGCGCCCTCTTTTATGCTCGATGCCTATTCTGTGTTCCTTCTGTGGCATTTGTCACCTATTCTGATTCCCTTGCAGAAGCCCATTACATTCTTCCGTCTTTCTTCTCGTAAAAATGCAGGGGGAATAGACTGAAATAAGCTTCATGAAAATGCTCCTAATCTACTTCTACGAATCTACTTACACCTAAGGCAGAATAGACTGAGACCTAAGGCGTTCCTCGGAGTGACTCTTTCAACCAGAGAGAGTTAACCGTAGGAAAAAAAATCCCTGACTCGGGTGTATGAAATGCAACATAGACTGAGACCTAAGGCGGACTCCCCTGTAAACCTTTGACCGGCTGTCTAAGCTATCTATTTCCATTTCATTTTCCCCTTTTGAATAAAAGTCAATTTCCGCCCTAAAGTGGCATTAGAATTGATACACATAAAAAAACCCCCGTATTTTTTGTTGTTAAGACTTCCCGTTGACAACAAAAAAAGACTTCCTGCCTGTGCTAATCCGCATTTCTTTCAAGCTTTAGGAGATATTTATAATGGAACGAGCCTGAGTTCGGTTCTGGTGCTCAATCTAGTAATAGTACGGGCAGGGCAGGTAAAGGCCAATTAATAAATACTTTGTAGGGGACGGAAGGTAGAAAACTGAACTTCCGGAGCTAGGGATTGCTCTTTCCAGTCTCCGCTAGCGCTTCGCTGAAAGGCAGACAAGGACAAGGGAGACAAGGGAAAGAAGGATGGCTTCGAAAACAGATATAGAATCGATCTATATCTATATATTACGCTATTACTTGGCTTGGCCGAGAATCCTTGTTTTCTAGTCAGGCATCACTACAGCACAGGAAGTGGTCGGGCTATCTCACTGAGGCTAGAATAGATTAGAGCACGGTCCTCAACACGCATCTAAGGCCCCGCTCTAAGCCCATTTTCCCGCTTGTAATAGGTCTGGGTAGGCCCGTAATGAGCTATAAGGCTACAAGTGCAGCTTCCGGGCGCGTTTCCTAGAGAGAAAATCTTTGTTGTTAGTACCGGGAAGATGTCGCTAGAAGGATCCGTCGGTCTTTACTAGTTCCTGCTTCTTGCTTCCTGTGTCGAAGGTGTAGCTGGCATACTGGAGTCAATATCTTTGTAGTTATCCGGAATAAGGGAAGAAGTGTACTAGATGTATTCGTTGTGTCTGGATCTAGTTGTTAAGATCCTTCTTGTAACCGGTGCAGCTTGTAGCTCACGAGGAAAGCTTACGAGTGAGCGGGCTAGCAGTGCTTCCCGTTTGTATAGAATATCTCTCTCTTTCGTTCGAGTTATTCTTACTTGTTTTGTTCGGATAGGAAGTACTCGGTATGATAGGCAGGAAGGTGTGCGAAGTGGTATTGCTGTTAATGGATGTGCTTGACTTGTAGGAAGCGAAGAAAGACCTCTGAGCTACCGGGCTTCCCTCTCCTTTTAGTCAAGTAAGAAATCCCTCTCCGAGTAAGAAATCCCTCTCCTTACAGTCGAGTTATTGCTTCCCTCTGCGTGTGTTGCTAAAGGTATGGGAGCGGAGGAACCAAGCTTCTTCAGCGAAGCTGGAGGAACCCCTCATACGCCGGCTCAAATAATTGCTTGTCTAAATACTATATCTGGTAATGCTGGGGCACGCCTAAAAGTCAAGGAGTAACCCCGAATGAAGATCTTTAGCACACACCTGAAGGAAGAGGGAAATAATTCAACAGATACATTATTGGCAGGCGATGAACAGAGATCAAGTTCTTATGTATTTGAGGAACATTAAGAACATTTGTGAGTTAAAGAGAGCGAGAGATGGAGGGTAAAGAGATGGAACCAGTGTTGACAATGGGCAGACCAGAGCCATCGCCTATGAGGACTTCCTCAGATCCGAGGTTATGTGATGTGTGGAGCACACACCGGAGTCAAGGATCCAGGGATTGTTGGTGGGAACAGTGGTGAGAACGCGCCAGGGATTGTTGGTGGGAACAGTGGTGAGAACGCGGGAGTAGTTGGTGGAGTAGGCAGCAGTGGGCGTTGAGAGGTCTGATTGCCACAGATCTGACAGCGACCAAGGTAAGGCTTTTTTTGGAGGATTGATCGGCTTGTTGGTGTTTATTCCAGTTCTGACTTGGCCTTTGTTGATTAGTTCTCTGCATATTGCGGTTGGTGTAGTTTGCAGTGATTGGGAAGTTTGGAGCAGAAGCAGAGTGTGCTGCAGAGGAGAGAACTTTGGCCTCATGATTAATGAGATGCATGAGAGTAGGTGGGACATCACGGCCTTCTGTCTGGTCAATGACAGTTTTGTATTCATCGGGGAGGCCTTGGAGGATGTACTAAATCTTAGCACACTCCTGCTTTTTCAGTTAAACAAAGGTCGAGACTTCTCCTCATGATCCACCAATTTTCCAAGGAGGGCAAGCTGATCTGGTGGTAAGGCCCTGAAAATACTCATCAATAGTCCGTGTACCTTTCTTCCATTCTTTGATTTGCAGTTTGAGTTGTTTGATGCTTGGCGTATGTAGATGCTAGGGTATCCCATTGCTCTTCTTACATTACAGTGGTTGACAGTGGCTTATGTAAGTGTTGCCCCTGGGCTCCGGTGAGAGCCTGAATTTCATGGTTTGGTTTTTCATCACCCTCTTCAAGACAAGTGCCACATTCATGGAGGACGACACATTAGGGGATAAGCACGGAGGAATCTCAAAATGTGAGTAGGAGATTCTAGTTCACAGCAAGATGCGGGCACTCCCGTTAGTCCCATAGCAAGAAGAGGTCAGGATGCAGAGACAGAGAGTCAGGGAAGTTCCTCCTATCTATAGGTAGGAGCGTAACGTCTAATAGTTTCCTGTAGTTGCTCTAGACTCCTCTCTTTCTCCTATCTATCAGACTATCTTCTTTTTTGTATTATTTGATTGTCTTATCTTGTGACATAGTCTTGTCTCTAGGTGAATATCACTACGGGAATGCGTTAGAATCCCTTCTCTGTCTCCCTCTCTGTCTTTCCTTTCTAGTAGCAAACTTGATTCTGTGGCTTTCCTTCCATTCCGCAAGAGTAGGGCACCAAAACAAAAGCTGTCCTATCATTTATTGGAGTGGAAGGCCTTCCCATCCTCATTCCGAAACAAAGAGAGTAAGGCCACTTGTGACCTATCTTCTTGGTCCAACCCCTACTTTAAGAGGAAAGCCCAAATCCCCTTTTCGTTTAGCCAATATCTCTTGAAGTATTTGTTTTGAAAAGCCTGCGGTAAGCCACTCTTCCTTTTCCTTTCCTAGCGAAGCAAGTTCTCTCTACTTCTCGGTATTCCTCTGCTTTCTCTAGCGCAGTGCTGGGTTATTCCTTCCTAACTGTTATCTGTATACTCCTAGCGAAGCAAGCCCGATAAACTAGTATTGCACACATTCCAGCACACACCCGTGGATGAAGATTGGTCCCTATCTCGTGCTAAAAAAAATAGGGTGCCACTATAGTAGAAACGCGGGCGAAAGACCCTAAGAGTCAGTTTACCCCTTCCCAGGAGTGTGCTCAACCAACCAACTTAGTAGATTAGCTGCCCATCTTCACCTAACCTAGTTGACTTACTTATCTGTGTTCTATCCTCTGTGTTACCCATCCATACCAGATAAAAGGAGCTCATTCCAGCTATTCCAGTAGAACTGGGGTATCAATAGACTTGGCGAGGACTTATCCGTAGAGTGTGCTGGAATGGATCGGGCTTCCAGCTCAGCTTTGTCATCTTTCCTCAATAGACTAACCATATAACAGCTTTTCCTTTACTATTTGTACTGCTCCATGTGATGTCTACCTCAAGCCGAATCCTGTCTATCTCAGCCGCCAGACTGAACTTATCTGATGGGAAGCCTAACGACAGGTTACGGTAGCGTAGCGTTAGCTATGAAAAGCAAGGCTGTCCCTAGACTGTGAGAAAGAATGCCATAACACCTAACCTCTTCCTTAAAGACCTTGTATTGCTTGTCTTTGTTGGCGTA